AGGCACCTCAGATGTCCACGTTAATTTGTGTTGAGGAGTTAGGGTTCTTCAGGAATTTATTCTTATTCTTATTTATTATTTATTTATTTTTTTTGAGATGCAAGTCTCACTCTCGCCTAGGCTGGAGTGCAGTGGCACGATCTCAGCTTGCTGCAACCTCTGCCTCCTGGGTTCCAGTGATTCTTCTGCCTTCACCTCCCTAGCAGCTGGGATTACAGGCACCTGCCACCACGCCCAGCTAATTTTTTATGTTTAGTAGAGACAGGATTTTACCATGTTGGCCAGGCTCGTCTTGAACTCTAGATCTAGACCTCAGGTGGTCTGTCTGCCATGGCCTCCCAAAGTGCTGGGATTACAGGCAGGAGCCACCATGCCCAGCCTGAGATGTATTATAAGGAATTGGTTCACACAATTATGGAGTTTGAGAAGTCCCAAGATCTGCAGTGGGCCAGCTAGAGATCCAGGAGAGCTGATGGTGTAGTTCCAGTCTGAAAGCCAGCTTTTGGAGACCCTAGAAGAGCTGATGTTTCCATTCCAGTTCAAAGGCAGGATAAGACTGAGGTCTTAGTTCAAGCAGTCAGGCAGGAGGACTTCTCCTTTACTTGTTCCATTCAGACCTTCAACTGATTGGATGAGGGCCACTTACATTAGGGAGGGCCGTGTGCTGTATTCAGTCTGTTGATTGAAATGTTAGTCTCATCCAAAAACACCCTCACAGACACACCCAGAGTACTGTATGACCAAATATCTGGGCATCATGTGGCCTAGTCAAGTTGACACGTAAGATTAACCATCACAACGAGGAAAAACAGAAATGATGCATGTATACAGAGTGCTCCTCATCCCACTTAAGTTTCACCAAGTTAATAATGTGTCTTTCTGAGAAGTGGTTCATCATGTTGGCCAGGCTGATCTCAAACTCCTGACCTCAGGTGACCTACCCACCTCGGCCTCCCAAAGTGCTGGGATTACAGGCCTGAGCCCAGCGCGCCCAGCTGACAGGTGCTTCTTAAATGTTTTCTTTAAGCGGGAATTGGTTCTCAAGTTAGAAGGAAAATTCGAGGGGAAGAGCTTGTTTTTTCTCCAACCAGTCTCTGATTAAATAGTTATTAGGAAAAACTCCTTGCTTATGTCTTTGTATTGCACATTTTTATGTATGTATATATGTGTAAATATAGATATTTATATACATGTATATGCACATTTCACAATGGAGGAAGAAGGGGTATGGTGTGCACTGAGGTAAAGTGAGCAGAGATAGAGAAGAGGGCTAGAACCTCACAGTCTAATTCTCTCATTGTACATAACTGTTAGGGTCTTTGTTCCCCTGAGTTCTCTGGTATGCTGGCTTGGGCTGGGGATTCCCTGGAGGTAAAAACCTAATCATTTCCAAAGGTTGGGAATAAAAGACTTTGAGGAAAGGGTGTTCATCATCCATTGCTTCTATATTATAATCATTTGAACTATAATACAGTTATCTATTGCTTTTTTAAAAAAACTTTTCTGACAAATTATTGACACCAAATGGAATAATTCATGACCCGCATGCTTCAGCTTCTTTCTCCCTGGTTCCCAGGTGCTAGTCCCTCAAGAAATACAAATTAAATATATCCGTCTTAATAAATCAGGAGGGAAGCATAGTCTGAGTCTGTTTTAAATGACAACAAAACAGCTTTGGGACTTAAGAAGTGGAAGACAGATTTTTATTTTTTTGAGACACAATCTTACTCTTTCACCTAGGCTGGAGTGCAGTGGCATGATCTCAGCCCTCTGCAACCTCCCCACCCCTGGGTTCAAGCGATTCTCTTGCCTCAGCCTCCCAAGTAGCTGGGATTACAGGCACATGCCACCATGCCTGGCTAATTTTTGTATTTTTAGTAGAGACGGGGTTTTGCCATGTTGCCCAGGCTGGTCTCGAACTCCTGACTTCAAGTGATCACCCACCTTGGCCTCCCAAAGTGCTGGGATTACAGGCATGAGCCACCGCGCCCAGGTGAGGAGACAGATTTTACGAGAAGGAGCAGGGCTGGTATCTGAATAGATATTTGGATGTTAGGGGAAAACCCTTTTTGGCCTCTGTGGTAGAGAGATCGGAAGATAAAAGTGCTGTTTACAAGAATAATCCATCGGAGCTCTGGGGATTGGGGGCGACTTACAGAATAGAATACTCTTATTGAGAATTTCCCTAATGAATCTCATTTATGTTCTGTCGCAGTAAGATGGAGGAAAACTTTGGTGGGATAAGCATCACAAGTGGCTGTCCTGTAGGGGGAAATCCTAGCCTGCAATAACGTCAGTGTCTCAGTATTCAGCCGGGGAGCACTGCGCTGCTCCAGGGGTTTAAAATAGAATGCATAGAATACAATGTGTACAACCAGAGATGCTTTCCAGGATCAAAATAGAGCCCTTGTCTGATCCAAATGACATTGTAAGGTTTTGATCTCTCTTACCTGCCACAGACAAGTGCATTATAGGCATTCAGCTTTAAGGTTTTATACATGTAAACTTTATGTTTTCCTGCCAAACTACACTTGGTGTCCACAGAAGTGTAGTTTGAATGTTGCCCCTTCCTCCTCTTTCAACCAGAACACTTAGATCTGTGAATCATAGGATGTAAGCTTGTGGTTCTTTACAGTTTCTAATAAGAAATACAATTTTCAAGGTCCAAAAATTATTAGATTCTTGGCTGGGCATGGTGGCTCATGCCTGTAATCTCAGCACTTTGGGAGACTGAGGCAGGCAGATCACTTGAGGTCAGGAGTTTGAGACCAGCCTGGGCAACACAGTGAAACCCCATGTCTACTAAAAATACAAAACTTAGCCGGGTGTGGTGGCACGCACCTGTAGTCCCAGCTACTCAGGAGACTGAGGAGGGAGAATCGCCTGAACCCAGGAGGCAGAGGTTGTAGTGAGCCAAGATTGTGCCACTGCACTCCAGGGCAACAGAGACCCTGTCTCAAAACAAAAACCCCCAAATTATTAGATTCCCTTCCAACAACATGATAGCCATATTATTAGTATTTTTGATTAAAGAATATGTAACAAAAAGCTGCTATAATTTCAGTAATGCTTTTAAGTCAATGTATCTTTTTTTTCTTTTTTTTTTTTGAGACAGAGTCTTGCTCTGTCGCCCAGGCTGGAGTGCAGTGGCCGGATATTAGCTCACTGCAAGCTCTGCCTCCCGGGTTCACGCCCTTCTCCTGCCTCAGCCTCCCGAGTAGCTGGGACTACAGGTGCCCGCCACCGCGCCCGGCTAGTTTTTTGTATTTTTTAGTAGAGACGGGGTTTCACCGTGTTAGCCAGGGTGGTCTCGATCTCCTGACCTTGTGATCTGCCCGTCTCGGCCTCCCAAAGTGCTGGGATTAGAGGCTTGAGCCACCGCGCCGGGCCTAAGTCAATGTATCTTTATTAGTCACACCAGAATTTACATCCAATTGAAATATAGTATATACAAATACTTGAAAGATATTTATTCAGGCTGAAGATTATGCTATATAGATTCCTTCTAATAACCTCATGGCCTCACAGAGGTTCAGAACCCATGGTTGTGAATCACTCACGTAGACTGGGGCTAAGATGTGTGTCCAGAAAACTACCTGTTATGCATGGAAATTGTAGGCTTATTTGAAGTCAGTTTATCAACACATTTTGAAAGCCAAGACACAAGTATTTTAAATTTCTGTTTAACCAAGTATTGAGAGATAAGCAGAGTAAATAAACTCTTAAGAAGCAAGACTCAGTTGGTATGTACAAAGTATGATTGCTTTGTATATATTCTGCTTAGTTCGAGTCAGAGCTAGTAATCTAATGCTCTTAAATGTCTTCATAAACTTGGGCAGTGATCATGTTTCCTGTGATTATGTGTCACAGATTTTTATATGTGGACTATAATTAGTATAGTACAATGGCTGAAACCTTTCCTATATATAGTTGGATATATCTTCTTTCTGAGACTTCCAATGATTGTATAATGTTGAGTAGCTCCAGAAGATTCTTTGAATAGTAAAAACAAAAGACATCTCTACCCATGTGAGCTTATTTAGTTAGTTAGAAACACAGAACTAACATATATAAAACAGGTAGAGAAAGATTAAGGTGAATGTGATGTAATGGAGAAGGCTTTGGAGACTTTGGAGTCAGAATTCAAATGGCTCTAGGTTCCAAATCCAGACTTTCATTTAATTCTCAGAACAGTCCTGTGGAAACAGAAGATACAGTTGGCAGTATCCCTTTTTACAGATAGGTAAACAAATAGCATCTCAAAACCTCATTTGCACTGGACATGGTGGCTCACGCCTGTAATCCCAGCACTTTGGGAGGCTGAGGCGGGCAGATCACTTGAGGTCAGGATTTTGAGACCAGCCTGGCCAACATGGTGAAACCCCGTCTCTACTAAAAACACAAAAATTAACCATGCATGGTGGTGCATGCCTGTAATCCCAGCTACTTGGGAGGCTGAGGCAGGAGAATTGCTTGAATCCAGGAGGTGGAGGTTGCAGTAAGCCGAGATCGTGCCACTGTACTCCAGCCTGGGCAACAGAGTGAGACTCCCGTCTCCAAAAAAAAAAAAAAAAATTCATTTGCCCAAAGACAAATAGCTGGTATGTTGCAGAGCCAGAATTTGAATCCAGGTCTTTTTGACTCTGGCTGGTTCTTTTATCTCCATAGGATACAAAGTCTAAAATCCTTAGTTTGAGGTTCAGGACTATCACTAATAAGGGTCTTACTCGTCTACTTCAGCCATATCTCTCTCCGTTCCCACAAACCGTAGCTCCCACATTTGGCAGGTCCTTGCCAAGGAGCACAGGTAAAGTGTCTCTTTCCTTTTAATGGCTCACCATGGAGCTGTAGCTAAATTTCTGTGCTCTTACCCCTTTATTCATGTAGTTCCTCCTATCAGGAATATCCTGCCCACTCTCTGCTTAACTATGACAATAGGTCGTCTGTCCAAAGAGAAAGAAGAGAGTTGGTGGATTTAGGAGAAAAGAAAAGACTGCACATACTGCTATGGGCATTTATTTAAAAAGAGAAATGACCAAAGAGGTTAACAAGTGTTGAGTTGAAGCTGGGCAGTTGTAGCCTGTGGTGCTCCTGGTCTGCACAGATCTTCCTCTTCCTCCAGCAGTGCTGTGTGGATGTTTTTGAATGTTGAGGTCTGTCTGCATTTCCTCATTTTCATGCCAAGTCAGTCACTGGGTCTGGCTGTCTTCCTTTCTGTCCTACCTATCTCTGCTTGTTTTCTTTCTCTTTCCTTTACAGTGTTAAATAAAAAATTATTCCCCCCAAATTTGGTGTTCTCATTTTGTTTGACTTATTTTACTATGTTGAGGAGGAGGGAGGAAAAATTGTTCTGGGGTACAAAAACGCACATATTTATCCAATATTTGAGGACTATACCAGCCACTTTGGTGAAAACTGTTCTGTTTATTTACTGGAGCTTAGGAGGGAAGAAGGCAGGTTTGCTCTGATGGTGAGCAGCAAAATCAAGGATCACACTGATTTGCCCCAGCTTATATTTCCACAGATTCTTGGTATATTTAGCATCTCTTCCCCTATGTCCCGTTGCTTTCTTCTCTGTGCCTGTTGTAATGAGAAACATACTAAGCTAGAGTCAGACTCATCTTGCTGTAGCTTTTTAAAAACTTTTTTTTTGGCACAAGGCTTACAAAGCTGTAGAAAGAAAAAGAAAGTTTGTATTACTGCCTTATAACTTAGAATAGCAACAAAATACCTGATATAGTGAAGTCTGACCTGTCCTGAGATGTGTGTTTGATAGGCCCTCATGACTGTGAAGGGATTGGAAAAGGAAAGTGGGAACTATTTTATGTATTGCACATTACTAAATTAGGGTTGTAATCTTGAGCAAATCTGATTGTGGTGGGAGTGCGAAGGGAGCTAGTCTTTGATCACTCCTTGCTGGAAGGGACAATCAAGCAATAGATGCCACTCAAAAAATTGAAGGTAGGTTTTCCATGTATAGATCTGAATTGTTGGCATAGTGATAAGGATATTCAGTGAAATTGGCTTCATGAGCTGAGAGGCACAGAGATCCAGGAAACTCCCTCCTCCTCTTCCCCACATGTAAGCATGATAACTTGATCTATGTGGTGTTTCTGGACCTGAAAAAGCATGTGTACTGTTCTACTGAGTACTACCTCTTTCCATAATTCTACTAAGCCTTGAGTTGGGGGAGAAGGATAAAGAAAAGAAAGCTTCTAAGTAGTGTATATTTTCTCATTTAATCAAATATTGAGCTTTGGTTTTTTCCTTTGGTTAACTTTAAAGCTACTTGAATCGAATACAGGAGAAAACAAAAAATTGGATTAAAAAGCTCGTTCTCTTCACCTGAGTGGAAAAGGAAAAAAGTCCAGATTTTTTTTTTTTCTCTAGGATGACTTGGGAATCAGAGATAGTAACTGGTAGTAGGTTGTATGGCTAGACTCAATTTACCCTTTAGAATTTTTATTCTAAAATAAAATGTGTTTTACTGGTTACAGTAGCCTAACCAAGAGAATTTAAAGTCAATAAAAAATTATGTCTAAATGGTCAGACTGTTTCATATTCATGTTTCCTCCTGAAAACTGGCATAGGCTTAAATTTAGAAGATCATTGTCAAGGATTACAGATAAAGTCTGTGTTTTCTTTTTGAAATCTGTGTTTTCTTTTGATGACTTGCAGATAAGGGACTGGAATAGGGAATATTTAGGTGGTCCTGTTTCTGGAAAGGGGAGGAGTCAATCTCAGAATGAATGGGGTGGTAAAGGAGGTAAGAGGTGCTTTGCCTATAGTAGATCATTACTGAGTGTAAGGTTTTAGAGTGAGAAGGATCTGTATTAATTGCTGTGACAGGCAACATTTAACTTTTTTTTTTCTTTGAGAAAGTGTCTCAGTCTGTCACCCAGGCTAGAGTACAGTGGCATGAACATGGCTTACTGCAACCTGAACCAACCTGGGCTCAGGTGATCCTTGTGCCTTAGCCTGGGACTACAGGTGTGTGTGCCACTACGTGTGACAAAGTTTTTATTTATTTGTATAGATGGGGTTTCTCCGAGTTGCCCAGACTGACCTCAAACTCCTAGGCTCAAGGGATCTGCCTGCCTCAGCCTCCCAACGAGCTGGGATTACAGGCGTGAGCCACCGCACCAGGCCCTATTTAACTTCCTTATGTTGTTTCCTGATGAGTAACCAGGGGATGTTTGCTTGCAAGGGTTGTATAAGGTTAGAATCATCATGTGTAAAGCATCTGATTCATCGTACAGGTTCTTTAACAAATTTATTAAGAGCGTGCTATATGTGTGGGACTTTTTGTTGGGGTAAAGATGACAAAGTCCTTACATATATAGAGCTTACATTCTGATGTCACTCAAAACAGTGGTATTGATTTGAGGAATGCCTAAATTAAATGGAGTTAAGAATGCCAAGGACAGGCAAAAACCTGAATCAGTTGCTTATTATGCAAAAACATAATGACAAATTATTGGAAGGTTCACTTTTATTATCTAATAGGGAGAGCACCAATCCATATTGGTAAATGGTTTTCAGAAGACTCAGCTACATGTGTTTAATATACTCAATCTGGCCATCAGCCTTTGCTGGGGAGCTGCAATGTTCAAAAACCTGTCTCCAGGCCGGGCACGGTGGCTCACGCCTGTAATCCCAGCACTTTGGGAGGCCGAGGCGGGCGGATCACGAGGTCAGGAGATCGAGACCATGGTGAAAACCCCATCTCTACTAAAAAATGCAAAAAAAAACAATTAGCCGGGTGCGGTGGCAGGCGCCTGTAGTCCCAGCTACTCGGGAGGCTGAGGCAGGAGAATGGCATGAACCCGGGAGGCAGAGCTTGCAGTGAGCCGAGACTGTGCCACTGCACTCCAGCCTGGGCAACAGAGCGAGACTCCATCTGAAAAAAACAAAATACAAAAAACCATCTCCAAACCAAGTCTGTCTCTTGTTCTTCCTCTAATAGTCAAAAATCTGTTGCTTCAACTTACAGTCCTCTGTTCACGCAGTGAGTAGAGGTGGTTGTACTAACTTGCCTCTCACAGGCCTTCTTTCCTAATAAGTCTTACCTCCTACCCTTTGGAAAGTCTGATTTATCTGTCTTCCTCTTTAGTGCTTTTGGATCAGTGAAACTGGTTTGAACTTTCCTATGGATAACCAGGGCTTGAGTAACATTTTCCTCTCCCTCTGGACTTCCTTTCCAACCTTCTCCTCCTGGAGAATAACCAAGATGGCAGAAATACAATAGCACCCTCATTGCTTGGGGTGTTTACGGCTCTTTTGGACGTACCTTGAAGGACCACGAGGCTGGTGACCAGCATTACCCAGACCTTTTCTTGTAGGAAGCCTGAACTGAGAGTGCCTTCATTATGGCTGAACTCAAGGTGTTGTCTTTGTTTCAGTCCCGTCACTGTGTAGTTCCCTGTCTCTGGTTCAAAAGAGAATCTTGGATCAGGGGAGGGTTTCAGAAATCATCAGTACCTCCTTTTGCATCATCTCATAACATCTCTTTTATGATCTCCAAGGATTCCTCCCGCCGTAATTTGTTGCCCAGATAAGTATCTTTAACATTGTGGGTAATGATGATGTACTTAAGCAGCCATAAATAAGTATAGAATCTCCTGTGTGTCAGACACTGGGGATGCAGATAGACCTTAAAGTAATTCTGAAGTTTTGCCACAGAGATAGCTGAAACAGCTTAGCTACCTTGGACTTGGGTATCCCCAAATAGCCCCATTTTCTAGAGTGGGTCAAGCAATTTAGCATAAGTTAAAATCTTGCCCTTTGGAATAGATCTGGGGTTTTTTTGTTTGTTTGTTTTGGTTTTTGTTTTTTGAGACAGGGTCTTGCTCTGTCATCCAGGCTAGAGTGCAGTGGCGTGATCATGGCTCACTGAAGCCTCAAGCCCCAAGCCCAATCGATCCTCCCACCTCAGCTTCCCTAGTAGCTGGGACTACAGGCATGTGCCACCACACCCAGCCAATTTTTGTATTTTTTGTAGAGACAGGTTTTCACTATGTTGCTCAGGCTGGTCTTGAACTCCTGGGTTCAGGTGATGCACCTGCCTTGGCCTTCCTAAGTGCTGGGGTTACAGGCTTGAGACACCGCACCTGGCCTAGATCTGGATTTTTATCCATCATTCACTAGTTGGATAAACGTAAATTATCTTCAAGCTTCAGTTATCACAGCACAATAGCTCAAAAGACCATGCAGCTTAAATAAAATAATATCACTTAGCACAATGCCTGGCCCACAGTAAGTAAATGGCAGACATTGTTTTTTATTTTATTATTTTTTTGAGACAGAGTCTGGCTCTGTCACCCAGGCTGGAGTGCAGTGGCACAATCTCAGCTCACAGAAACCTCTGCCTCCTGGATTCAAGTGATTCTCTTGCCTCAGCCTCCCAAGTAGCTGGGGTTACAGGCATGTGCCACCACACCTGGCTAATTTTTGTATTTTTAGCAGAGATGGCATTTCACTATGTCAGCCATGCTTGTCTCAAATTTCTGATCTCAAGTGATCTGCCCGCCTCAGCCTCCCAAAGTGCTGGGATTACAGGCATGAGCCACCGCACCCAGCTGACATTGTTTATTATCTGTTACCTGTCTCCTCTTAACCAGTTTTACCTTCCAAAATGCACCTAATTTCCACATTTGGGGAACCATCTAGATGTGCTGACTGTAATACTTAAATATGCTGAGATGAGAAAAGCATTCTTTCTTAGGGAGAATCTTCACAACCAAAACAATATATTAGAACAGGAATTTTAGGTTATAAGGAACAAGGACTGTGTTGTACCTCATTCTGTTCTCCAAGGCGCAGCGCTGGGCGTGGGATGCACAATACATATTTGTTGGATGAATGAAAGAGGAGTATCTGCTAGTGCAGTTTAACTGAAGCAATGTATTCACATAAATATAATGAAATGCTATAGAGTCTCTAGTGCCAGGCTATAGTAATTTAGACTTTATCCCATAGACAGTGAGAAGCCATTAAAACTTTGAGTGGTGTGGCATGTACAAATTAGCATTTTGGAAAGACAAGCTGGTGGCAGTATGTAGAGTGGAGTGGAGGCAGAAACAGTATTTAGAGTTGCTGGACCATTTATTAGGCAACAGCTCGGTGCTAGGCCCTGTGGTAGGTGTGGGAGATACAAAGGTGAGTAGGGCACAGTTGCTGAACTCAGGGGACTCACTAGTTAGGAGACTATTGGAATATGTTAAGTGTGAGGTGATGAAGACCTGAAAAACACCTTTGGAAGGAAAGGAATAACAAAGTACTGCTGTGCGGAAGAACAGTAGTACTTAGTAACTCTCTGAATTGGGGGTTAAGAAAAAAGGAGGAACCAAAGTTGACTTCAGTCATGAACAGAAACAGGGTCTCAGGAGGATAGCTTTGGTACTGAGTTTGAGGAAATGGTGGGGCATCTAGGAGCTAGGAGTACAGTTGTTAGTTGAAACGTTTAATTAAAACTTAGGAAAGAGGTTTGAACTGGAGAAGTGGATTTGATGGTCAATTGCATTGAGATGCTGGTTTAAATCATGGGTAGATGAGAACTGGGGAGAGAGAGTAAAGAGAAAAGGTTGAAGTGATGAGAAGTGAGTCTTGGGGAATGAATACTCATGTTTGAGAGGTGGGAGGAGGAAATAGAGAAGACAAAAGAACAGCCAAGCTGGTAGAGAACCACTTGAGTACAGTCACAGAAACCACTAAGATGACACTTTGATGAAGGAGGGAATAGTCAGAAGTGCTGAATGCTGTGGCTAGGTCAGACAGGAAGACACCAGGAAGCAAGGAAGAAAGTCAATCAAACTAAACAAGTTGAACATTTGAATTAACTAGGAACCATAGGAGGTGATTAAAAACATTTGTTCAAAGGCTCTGGGCCAGTTTTTCATGGGGGGAGGGTGGTGGTAAGTGGGTAATTTATACTTATTTTTCTTTAAAAGTAAGATAGGCCAGGCACGGTGGCTCACACCTGTAATCCCAGTACTTTGGGAGGCTGAGGCGGACAGATCACCTGAGGTCAGGAGTTCGAGACCAGCCTGGCCAACATGGCAAAACCCCGTCTCAACTAAAAATACAAAAAAATTAGCCGAGGGTGGTGGCGTGTGCCAGCTATTTGGGAGGCTGAGGCAGGAGAATCACTTGAACCTGGGAGTGAGCCAAGATCATGCCACTGCTCTCCAGCTTGGGCCACAGAGTGAGAGTCTGTCTCAAAAAAAAAAAAAAAAGTAAAGTAGTTGTAAGTTCTTAGAGAATAATAGCAGTGCCCTTTTACCCTCCTAGGCTTATTGTCTGAGACAACCACTGCCAACTCTTCAAGATGTCTTATATTCCTAAATAATATGCTCATATTGCTGCTTCCTAGTGATAAAATGTAGACATTTTCTGTTGGCTTTCTGCTATAGTAGATGAAGGTTATACTTTTACCCATTTTCCTTCTCTGCATTCTTGCAAAAATAATTGTATCACAAATTTTATTTAAATTAGTCATGTTTACATAATTTGGATTTTGTGTTATTTTTTTGCAGAATCAAGTTGTGTGCTATGTTTCTTTTGTAAAATTTAGTTTTTTCTAGAGCCTGATTTTATTTTTTTACTGGCAGAGTTTTCCATATCCATTTCTTTTTTTTTTTTTTTTTTTTGAGACGGAGTCTTGCTCTGTAGCCCGGGCTGGAGTGCAGTGGCCGGATCTCAGCTCACTGCAAGCTCCGCCTCCCGGGTTTACGCCATTCTCCTGCCTCAGCCTCCGGAGTAGCTGGGACTACAGGCGCCCGCCACCTCGCCCGGCTAGTTTTTTTTGTATTTTTAGTAGAGACGGGGTTTCACCGTGTTAGCCAGGATGGTCTCGATCTCCTGACCTCGTGATCTGCCCATCTCGGCCTCCCAAAGTGCTGGGATTACAGGCTTGAGCCACCGCGCCCGGCCCATATCCATTTTTTTAATCCTTTTATCAGGTCTTTAATGGGCCTTTAGAAAGATGATCTGTCAATTCCATTTTTACCTCCTAGAGATTTCCCTTCCAGAGTCTTCTTTCTCTTGCTCTCTTCTGGACTAAGTGCCCTTTTTAAATTCTAGAATTTCCTTTTTTTTTTTCTTTTCCACTAGAGATGGTGTCTCCCTATGTTGCCCAGGCTTTTTTTCTCTAACTCCTGGGCTCAAGTGATCCTCCCACCTTGGCCTCCAAAAGTGCTGGGATTACAGGCATGAGCCACTGTGTCCAGCTTAGAATTTCCTTTTCCCTGTTAGATTCCTTGTTTCCTGTATCTCATTTTATCTCCTGTACGGATTCACTTTCTTGTTTTACTGAAGCACATCCTCTGGTCGCTTCTTTGAAAAGATCACATGGAAGGCAAATTTTTTTGAGTCGTTGCATCTTGTGATAGTATCTTTTTTCTTTCCTTACATTTGGTTTATAGTTTGGCTGAATATATAATTCAAGGTAAACTTTTTTTTTTTTTAGACGGAGTCTCGCTCTGTCGCCCAGGCTGGAGTGCAGTGGCGCAATCACGACTCACTGCAACCTCCACCTCCCGGGTTCAAGCGATTTTTTTTGCCTCAGCCTCCCAAGTAGCTGGGACTACAGGCGTGTGCCACCATGCTTGGCTAATTTTGTTTTTTGTATTTTTAGTAGAGATGGAGTTTCACCATATTGGCCAGGCTGCTCTCAAACTCCTGACCTCGTGATCCGCCTGCCTCGGCCTCCCTAAGTGCTGGGATTACCGGCGTGAGCCACAGAGCCCAGCCAGGTAAACTTTTTTTTTTTCCACAGAATTGTGGAGGCTTGCTCTGTTGTCTGGGAATATAGGAACACAGACACTTTCTGTTGGGCACAGTTTGACTTAAGGAAGCTACATAAAGCTGGGGCTGGAGTGGCCATATTTAGGACATGCCAAAGTAGTAATGGAGCCGGGGGAGCATGCACAGAGTGAAAAAGACAGATGCAGAAGCCAGAGGCCTTGCCGCCTCAGAGTTTGAAATGGTAACTGTTTTGCGTCCTGTCCCCTTTCTAGTTTCTGATTCCAGGAGCTAGAGCTCATGAGGGCCAGCTGTACTTTTTGCTTTATTTTTTCCTCCTCTAATCTGTGGTACCTTGAATGGGTTTCTGTTTCTTCCAACTAAATGCTCCTTAAGACAGATACTCATATTATCTCAAACCTAATCTCTTTGTCTCTCTGAATTTAGAAATATAGCCGCATTTCTGGGAGAGTTCTGAATTGGGAATCAGGAGACCTAATTTATTTCTTTTTTTCTTTTTTTTTTTGAGACGGAGTTTCACTGTAGTTGCCCAAGCTAGAGTGCAATGGTGCGATCTCAGCTAACTGCAACCTCTGCCTCCCACGTTCAAGCGATTCTCCTGCCTCAGCCTCCCGAGTAGCTGAGATTACAGGCATGCGCCACCACACCCGGCTAATTTTGTATTTTTTGTAGAGATGGGGTTTCTCCATGTTGGCTAGGCTGGTCTTGAACTCCCGACTTCAGGTGATCCTCCCACCTCAGCCTCCCAAAGTGCTGGGTTTACAGGCATAAGCCACCGTGCCTGGCCAGGAGGCCTAATTTCTATCTGTGTTTATTTTCACCGGTCAGTGAGTAGCATTGGACAAATCTCTTCAACCCCTGTGTCACCATCTCCCTGTCAATAAAAATGCGATAGCCACCCCGGTAAGAGTTTTAAAATTAAAAACAAAATGAGTTTATGTTTGTATGTGCACGTTGAAGAAAGGCAGCATCTGCCAATGGGAATGTTGGAAAAGGATTGAGAAAGAAGGAAACTGCCTATCCAGGACCTGAACCATCTGATTATATCACCAGCTGTCAACTCTGCTCAGTGTCCCACCTGGTGGCATTAGGGGTATTAGAGACTCACCTGTGACTAGAAGGGAGAAGAAATGGCCCTGAAGGCGGATACCTGACTTCTGGCTTGTGGCACAACACTGGTAGGTCCCACTGTGCGACGGTGTGACTTGGCTTATGGTGAACACTAACTCAGATGATATTTCACCAACACCATCTATCCCAGGATCCCTTTTAAGTCTCAGCTGTTTTAAACTGGTCTCAGGAAAACAGTCTCTAGACTTGTCCTTGCACAAAAACACTACCAACCCCTCAGCCTCTTCTTTCTTATGCCACACAGTGCAGATTAAGTTCAGTTGTGTTCCTTCCTGGAAAGCTGAGCTGGTGATGTTAATGCATCCTGGAATGGAAAGGGAAGAATTACCCAGAGGTCAGGTAGCGTTTTTTGAATTTCACCATTACTGCTCCTTATCACTAGAAGTCTTCAAGGAAGGACTGAAGCAGAACCTGGCAGCAGTGCTGGCAGACAGGAAATACAAATTACAGCTCTATCGATGGCTGTGTGACTGTCAGCAAGTTTCCTAACTCCTTGGGCAGTAGTTTATTCATCTGGAAAATGAAAATTAAGGTACTAAATAATATGCTCAAAGCATCCATTCATTCATAGGTTTATTTGTTCCTCCACTTAACAAATATGTGTGGGTATTCACCCTGCCAAGCCCTGCTGGGGCAATGATGACTAGGACATGAGCCCCACTGTCAGACCTTTTTTTCCCTAACCATTAGATGACTGGGGATTTTTAATTAAAAAAAAATTTTTTTTAAACAAGGTCTTGCTCTGTCACCCAGGCTGGAGTGCAGTGGCATAATTGTAACTCACTGCACCTTTGAACTCCTGGGCTCAGGCAATCCTCCTGCTTCCACCTTCCAAATAGCTAACACTACAGGTATGCACCACTATGCCTGGCTAATTTTTTGTGTTGTAGAGACAGATTCTCACTATGTTGTCCAGGCTGGTCTTGAACTCCAGGCATCAAGCGACCTTCCTGCCTCTGCCTCCCAAACTGCTGGGATCACAGGCATGAACCACCGTGCCTGGCCACTCTCAGAGTTTAAAGCCTAATGTAAAAACAGATTAGCAAAAAATTACAATTTAATTCCACAGTTATTATAATTGAGGAATCTTAGAGATTCCTAAGTCTGAAGAATCAGGAAAACTTCACAGTGAATTTAGTGCTGGAGCTGAGACTTGAAGGAAGAGTAAAAGTTTTTCTAAGAGATATAGGATGAGAGAGACCACAGAAATACCAGAGATAATTAAAAACAGCCACTGTGCAGAAATGAAGTGAGAATGGACTGGAGAAACAGACTAATTATTGAGGGACCATTGGTAGCCAAAGACCATGACTCTGATGGTGCCAATCTGCCGACTTGATGATTTTCCCTGTAAGTAATCTGTAACCTAGATACAGAAGTGGAGAAAATAGTTGGGTTAACCCAGGATGTTTCGGCTCAATGGGTGTCTCTGACCTAATTTTCCAGTGCGTTGGCCCTGCCACCTTTGTACTGCCCCTCACTCTCCTCAAACTTCACTTCCTTCTGTAGTTTATATTTTGTAGTCCATTACTATAATCTCTCCCTTATATCCACCCTCAGCTCCCTTAGCTTTACTCCCGCTATGACGGATCCTTGCAAAACCCCAACCTTGGTTACATCCAGCTCTCTGCTAAAAACTCATCGGGCAGATGATGAGGCTGCCAGCCCCACTCCCTTGGCAGCTTGATCCCCTATGACTTGCTTTTCCTTGTAAGACTCCTCTTGGTATATACAGTAAACTAAATTCACTCACATGAAAATGGTGAAGAGGCACAGATGGAGGCTTCCCCCTACATATTAAATGCAATTCTCTTACAAGAGTAAGAGATATGGGTCTTATAAGACCTGTATCTGAGGGAGACTTGCAATCCCAGCCATTGATTAACTCCAAAATGGTTTATATTTTATTTCTACTTTCCAGCGGGAACTTCTACAGGGTCTCTATTAGAGTGCTTTTCTATATATCAAATCCTCAGTATAGCCGTAGAGACAGGTGTTACTGTTCCCGTTTTATAAATACACAAATTGAGGCAGAGTGGTTAAACTAGGTACTGAAGTTAATGAAGATTGCAGTATCTGGATCTCAAACCTGGATTTCATAAATTTATAGTATATAGGAACTTAAAGGAATCTTAGGTTGAGGCACAGATTACCAGGCTCTTTGAAACATGTAGCAGAGGCAGAATGTCTGACAGAGAGGCAGTAGTATCAGTTCTAACAAAAAAGAAAAAGACACTATATTTTTTACCCTTTCCTTAATGTCAAGAACAGTGAGTCAGCCGGGCTCCTGAGGATCACCTGAGGTCAGGCAGGAGTTCGAGACCAGCCTGACCAATATGATGAAACCCTGTCTCTACTAAAAATACAAAAATTAGCCGAGCGTGGCGGCATATGCCTGTAGTCCCAGCTACTCAGGAAGCTGAGCCAGGAGAATTGCTTGAACCCAGGAGGCGGAGGTTGCAGTGAGCCGAGATCGCACCATTGCACTCCAGCCTGGGTGACAGAGTGAGACTCCCTCAAAAAAAAAAAGTGAGTCCTTTGTTTCCCCATCAGAGAAAATCATGGGATCCAGCCCTTCCCACAAGCCCAGGATCCTCCCCATGGCCGTCTCTGCTCTAGGGCCTATCCTCACCACCAGACTGGATGTCCACAATTGCCAGCAGGATGGCCAGGGCACAGCAGCCTCTGCCAGTTTCCATCAGCATCCTGCACGCTGTCAGCAGGCCCAGGAACTTGAAGCAAATGTTGGCTCTGCTGGTATCCTTGGCTTCAGTCTCCTGAAAGCACAGGGGGACCCACTAGACAAAGCCTTCCAGGGCTCCAAGACCATCTCCCCATCCCAGGCACTAGCTTTGATTGGCTAGAGTATGATGGAGGTAGAGGAGGGCTTGGGCATTAGAGTCCAACTGGCTGGGAATTGAGGTGGTAAACCAAGTGAGATATACTGGGAGGGCAGGGGAGGGAGAGATGTAGGGAGACAGTAGGGCTGTTTTCTTATATATATATATGTATATATTTTAAGTTAAATTGGATTGCTGGGTCAAAGAATATGAGGATTAAAACTTTTTTCTACTATAAACAGATTGCTCTCCAAAAAGACTGTTGAGAATCAGATGTTCACCAAGAATGCTTAATAGTGTACATTTCCTTGTGCCCTTGCCAGCTCTGAGTATTTTCTGTACTTTAAAATGTTTGCCAATCTGATAGATGAAAAATTAGATTTGTTTTATGTTGCATTTCCATGATTAGTGAGGTTGAGGATCTTTTCATATGCTTATTGGTCATTAGTATTCCCTTGTCTATGAATTGTGTGTGTTCATATTCTTTATATTTCTTAACTCAACTTTTAGGAACTTTCTCTATATTAGAGATATTAACCCATCTGCCATTTCTTTAGGCAAATACTTTCTCCCAATTTGTTGTTTGTCTCTTCTCTTTGTTTATGATGCTTTTTTTTCACAAGGAAAATTTACATTGTATGTAATTAAATACAACATACCTAATCATATTTTCCTTTAAGTTGTCTGGGTTTCCTGCATTGTTTAGGAAAGTTTCCCTCCAATTGAGGCTATAATTTTCCTTCAACATTATTATGTTTTATTTTTTATAGTTATGCCTTCTAATCCTGGCTAAGAAAAATTACCCCTGTTTCAAAATAAACAAACTGAAGAAAAACGAACACCTGAATTTCATCAATAGGGAAATGGTTTAATAAGTTTCCATGAATCTATGCAATAAAATATTATATATATTAAAAGAATGAGATACTTCTATAAATATGGGCCTGGAGGGATATTCATGATATATCATTAGGTCAAAAAGGGCAAATTGCAATTATGTATATAAAATAAATGTATTTTTATTTTAAAAAATCTTCTCTGTGTGTATATGTTTTAAAAATATAAAGTTTTGTAGTTTATAACTTTTGAATAGGTAATTACATTCACAGCATTTAAAATTCAAAAGGGGAAAACAAGAATTTTTCTATAAATTTATTTTTCTGATTTTTATAGTCGGCTTGTCTAGTCTCGCCTTTCCTACTGTGTGTACCACCAAGAAAAAGTCCTGTTGGTATTTTAAAATTGGGATATGTTCAATTTATATTTTAACTTAGGGAGAACTGAATTTGTTGTGACACTGATTCTTTTGATCCGAGAATGTGATACTCATTTTTCAAATATATGTGTCTCAGGTATGTATAGAAGTTTTCTTCATAAAGTCGTTGTCCATTTCTTAGCTAAGTTTGTTTCTTGAGTAATTCATATTCTTTTTCACTATTGAAAATGTCATCTTTTACCCATTATATCTTTTTTTTATATATATACTTTAAGTTCTAGGGTATATGTGCACCTTGTGCAGGTTTGTTACTTAGGTATAAATGTGCCATGTTGGTGTGCTGCACCCATCAACTTGTCATTTACATTAGGTATTTCTCCTAATGCTATCCCTCCCCCAGTCCCCACCCCCCAACTGGCCCTAGTGTGTGATGTGCCCCGCCCTGTGTCCATGTGTTCTCATTGTTCAATTCCCACTTATGAGTGAGAACATGCAGTATTTGGTTTTCTGTCCTTATGAAGTTTGCTTAGAATGATGGTTTCCAGCTTCATCTATGTCCTTGCAAAGGACATTAACTCATCCTTTTATGGCTGCATAGTATTCCATGGTGTATATGTGCCACATTTTCTTAATCCAATCTATCATTGATGGACATTTGGGTTGGTTCCCAGTCTTTGCTATTGTGAATAGTGCCACAATAAACATACGTGTGCATCTTTATCATAGAATGATTTATAATCCTTTGGGTATATGGCCAGTAATGAGATTGCTGGGTCAAATGGTATTTCTAGTTCTTGATCCTTGAGGAATCCCCACACTGTCTTCCACAATGGGTGAACTAATTCACACTCCCATCAACAGTGTAAAAGCGTTCCTATTTCTCCACATCCTCTCCAGCATCTGTTGTTTCCACTCATTGTATCTTTTAACTTATTTTTTCATTATATCATTCATTATATCTTTTAATTTTTCATTGTTGTTCATATATGAAAGGCTATTTTTTTACTAGATACTAATTTCATATCCAGCTCCCCTCCCTTAATTCTATCATTTTTCAGTTGATTCTCTTGGATTTTCCAGTCATGCAATCATATTATGTGTAAATAATGATAATTCTTTTTCTGTTTTATATCTCTGATTTCTTTCTTCTAATATTGTTGGTTAATGTCTCCAGAAAAATATTAAATAATAATGGTAATAATGAGTGTCTTTTTTCTAAGTTTAATGGGGGATGCTTAAATGTTTCCTTTTTAAGTATTATAGTAGCTTTGAGAATGAGATGTATTTCATTATGTTAAGGAATATACATTATTTCTATTTTATTAAGAGTTTTAAAATGTCAAGGATGGATGTGAATGTTTTATTAATTGCCTTTAAGTATCAACTAAAATGATATTATTTTTCTTTAAGATATATTAAGATGGTGATCTACATTAATAGATTTCCTAAAATTGATACATCTTTGCAGTCCCAGACAAACAAACAAAAACTGAAACCATTTGGTCATAGTATGTTATTCTTTTCTTTTGAGACAGAGTCTCACTTAGTCGCCCAGGCTGGAGTGCAGTGGCACGATCTTGGCTTACTGCAACCTCCACCTCCCAGGTTCAAGGGATTCTCCTGCCTCAGCCTCCCAAGTACCTGGGATTACAGGCACCTGCCACTGCACTCGCTTAATTTTTGTGTTTTTGGTACAGACGGGGTTTCACCATCTTGGCCGGGGTGATCTTGAACTCCTGACCTCGTGATCCACCCGCCCTGGCCTCTCAACATGCTGGGATTACAGGCGTGAACCACCACGCCCAGCCTAGTATGTTATTCTTTTCATATGCTGCTGTATTCTGTTTTATAATATTTTATTTAAATTTTTAAAAATGGAAAGGCCCAGGTGTGGTGGCTCATGCCTATAATCCCAACACTTTGGGAGGCTGAGGTGGGAGGATCGCTTGAGCCCAGGAGTTTGAGACCAGCCTGGGCAACAAGGCGAGACCCTGTCTTTACAAAAAATACAAAAATTAGCCAGGTGTGGTGGTGCATACCTGTAGTCCCAGCTTCTCAAGAGGCTGAGGTGGGAGAAGCCCAGGAGTTCACGGATGCAGTGAGGTATGATCTTCACTGCACTCTGCCCTGGTTGACAGTGAGACCCTGTCTCAAGAAAGCCAAAAACAAAAATTACACACACACAAAAATTAACCAGTCCTACAAGATATTAAAAATATAACACACCATGACAAATGGAATGAGGTTTCATTTTTAGAAATTCTTGGATGATTTAATATTAGGAAATTATTAATTAACATACTACTGGATCAAAAAAGAAAGTCAATGTTACCTTCTGATAAAGTCTTACATTAATTCCCACTAAAATCCTAAGTAAAATGGTAATGGATGAATACTATTCAATATAATGGAAAAATGTATATCTCAGATAAAATTTCAACATCATATTTAATGGTAAAATATAGGATAATTTAAGGCAGAGATGCTTCCTATTATTTCTGTTATTTTACATTGTTCTGTTTGGACAGTGTAATGGAAGTGTTTGCCATTACATTTAGACAAGAAAATAAAGCAAAGGGTATAAATATTGGAAGTCTTAAGGCAAATTTATTACTATTTATATGTGATATAGCTTACATCTGGAAAACCCGAGAAACTTAAGAATTATTAAAAACAATAAAAGATAGAGTATCTGAATAGGCAGTTCACAAAAGAGGAAATGGAATAAAAAGTTTTTTAGTTTTACAAGTATTCAGGGAAGTACAAATTAAAAATTCAGAGTTCAGAATTTCAGAATTACCGCCTGTTAAATGAACAAAAATTTAAAAGATTGATAAATCAAAGTTTGGTAAGGGTAAGAAGAAATAGGTGCAATCATTCACTCTAGGTAGAACTATACATTGTTATGGAGCTTTGGGGGAACATTTCAAATGCACATACCCTGTCCCTTAGGCTATAGCTTACAGAAATAAAAGCATGAGTGTGCTAGTATATATGTACAAGGATATTCACTGCAGCATTGTTTATAATACCAAAAAAATAGAAACAGGTGAAGGCCAGGTGTGGTAGCTCACACCTGTAATACCAGCACTTTGGGAGGCTGAGGCACGCGGATCACCTGAGGTCAAGAGTTGGAGACCAGCCTGGCCCACATGAAACCTGGCTCTACTAAAAATGCAAAAATTAGCTGGGCATCGTGGCAGGTGCCTGTGATCTGCTACTCAGGAGGCCGAGGCAGGATAATTGCTTGAACCTGGGAGGCGGAGATTGCAGTAGCCAAGATCACACTACTGCATTCCAGCCTGGGCAACAGAGCAAAACTTCGTCGCCCTCCCGCCCCTACAAAAAAAGGAAACAGGTGAAGACCCACTGGTAAGAATGGTTGAAAAAATTATTGCAGATCCACAGAATAGAATGTTATGTAATTATAATTTGTATAAAATAAACTAAATTAGTGTATATAAATAATTTAAGGTATTAATACATAAGATTATTAATTTTCCTAGATATAATTATTAGAAAATATGGTAGAAGAAAAAGTTTCATTCTTTATAGCCACCAAAAAAACCCATGAAATGTCCAGAAAAATATAAAACATTCGAATAGGACTTATAGGATAAAAATTATACAGTACTATTAAGAAACATAAAAGAAAATCTAAGTAGAGACGATCATTAATTTTGTCTGTACTTATCTGTACATTTGTCACAATCCTAATAAAAAATCCTAATAAAACATCCCAGCAGCGGCTCAAGGTATGGCCCCAATGTCCTTTCCCCCTAGCCTTGACCTCTTCTTGCTCCCTCTCCTGTGTTGTTATACCTTCATGCTATACCAGAATGTCCTGGTGACTCTTGAAACATAGAATATTTAGTGACAAAGCATCATTTGATTCAAAGAGGAAGATAAAGAAGGATTGCAATTATTCATTCAGCCCAGAATTATGGTTAAAAAGCATAGACTCTAGAGCCAGAGTGTTTGTGTTCAAATCCTGGTCCGAAAACTTAGTAGTTGCATGACTTGGTCAAGTTTCTTAGGCTCCTGGGCCAGGCACTATGCTCAGCTTTTAATAAATAGACATATTTCAGAAACACGGAGCATCTATAATGTGTCAGGCACCACGGGGCACAGAGAGATCACTAACACAGCAGAGGCAAAGATGTTTTAGTGGTTAAATGGTCTCTAGAGTCAGACCAGCATGTTTGAGATCTGGCTTTGACACTATCTGTGTAATATTGGGCAAGTTTCTTAACCTCTCTGAAAATGAGTTTACTGACCTATAAAATGGTGACAAAATATTTTCTTCCTAGGGTGGTGAGGGTCAAATGAGGTAACCTGTGTAAACTACTTAGCATAATGCCTGGCAGAGAGTAAGGGCTCAATAAATGATAGCTATGATTATTTTTATGCTTTCGTATATTGGAATCAATGGACAGTGTTCCAGGCACATCTACCTACAAGACTGTGTTTAGTCGTTATAAAACACTAAGCCATTATTATTTTTTAAAATTTATTATTTGCACGAAGCATATAGAGGCTTGGAGAGGCCTTGCGACGTGCTTAAAATCACAGCTCCTAAGTTGGGGAGCAGGATTCTAACCCAAGTTATGAGAGTCTTTCTCTTGGAGTCCTCTTTGTCCCTCTCCTCACAGCCACTCATCCACGAACAGCTGTAACACAAGAACGACTGTACTAAGAACAGTAATAAGGTTATAAAGTATCAAGGGGCAGGAAAGGAGAAATTCTGGATGAGTGATGTGGAAAGGCTACAAGATGGCAATGGACTTAGGCCTTCATAGATGTTTGTGGGCTTTGGGGAGCTGGTGCCTAAAGAATACAGTGGATGGCCGGGCGCGGTAGCTCAAGCCTGTAATCCCAGCACTTTGGGAGGCCGAGACGGGCGGATCACGAGGTCAGGAGATCGAGACCATCCTGGCTAACACGGCGAAACCCCGTCTCTACTAAAAAATACAAAAAACTAGCCGGGCGAGGTGGCGGGTGCCTGTAGTCCCAGCTACTCGGGAGGCTGAGGCAGGAGAATGGCATGAACCCGGGAGGCGGAGCTTGCAGTGAGCTGAGATCCGGCCACTGCACTCCAGCCTGGGCAACAGAGCGAGACTCCGTCTCAAAAAAAAAAAAAAAAAAAAAAAAAAAAAAGAATACAGTTGGTGAATAAGGTGGGCTGAGGAAATCGGGCTTCCTTCCAGTCCTGGCTCCGCACCACATAGCCATGGAATGTTGACAAGGTCGTGTCCCTTCTCTAGGCGTGTTTCCTAAGGGACTGGTGCAGCGGGATGGGAGGGGCGCAGGGTAGGGACCGCTTCCAAGGAGACAGAGGACGGGCAGACAGGCTCGGAGGGGCTGATGCAGCCGGTCACTCCGCTGGAGTGGCCAGGCTTCGCGGTGCCTAGGGCTGAGTTGAAGAAGAGCGTGTAAGTCTGTTGTGGGCCCCTCACCAGCGCTGGGGGGAGGCGGGGTCACTGGGCAAGGATGCTCTGGGAAGTGACCTTGGTGCCCGGGAGGGGAGTACCCTGGTGTGACGCAGGCCGGGCAGCGCGGAGCCGGCGGCGCTGATTCCGCACTCTGGCCGCTAGAGGGCGCTGCCTTCCAGCCAAAGCCAAGTGACCCCAACCTGCCCTGCGTTGGTCACTCCAGCCATGGACCATCCGGCGAGCATGGGGGCTAGACAGGGAAAGCCTAAACTAGGAGGGGAGTTGAGGGGGTGCAAAGTTGGGCCTGGTGGGTCCTGGGGACGCAGCATGTACTAGAGCGGCACCTGGCCCTCAATAGGGGGAGAGCGGGTGGTCGTGAAAAGTCTGGGAATTTTCTGGGCCCACTACACGCCAGGGGCGGGTCTCCCCTCTTAAAACGTTGTGAGCCCCAGCGCGGGCACGGGGGTGGGTGCCCGTGCAGTTGGCATCCTCACCTTTGATCTTCCCCGGGGCTCCCGAGCTGCGCTGGTGGCGCCAGAGCCCGGGGCCTCTCTCAGGCAACAGCTCACAGACTGCAGGAAACTCTCCCCTCCCTCACCTCCGGAGGGGGTCCTGGAGTCCCTGCCGCACCTCCGGAGGGGGTCCTGGAGTCTCGTAGGCTCCTGGGTTCAAATTCAAGCTTTGTGTGACCTGTGGCACATTGCTGGACCTCGCTCAGTCTCACATTCCTCTTGTGTTTAAAGCTCCCTCATAGGAATGTGGTGATGGTTAGATGACACATAAAGCTTTGCCAGAGGTTTTCTGGGGAGGATGGGGACAAGATGGCAAGAAAGAGACTCCATTTCCTCTGTCACCGGAGCCCGGATCTAACCTCTCAGAGGAGCTGGAAGGTCAGCTCTGAGCTGCACAAATACCTCTGAATACGGATCTCCCACAACACTGAAAAAGATGCCCAGAAAGATCTCGTTTGCTGCTGTGAAGGCGCTTCTTTTTCTATCTCCACAACCCCAACTGCCTTAAAGTAGAACCAGACTTGTTAGCAAACAGAGGTTTGGGCTGGGGGGCCCTTGAAGCTCTTGTCTGAGATTTTGGGCTTCCTGCTCAACACACCAAAGCAGGCGCCTGACGTAAAGGGGGCCGTGGACCTCTTTGGTGGTCTGGGAAGGCATATGGAGTCCCTTCTCAGAATAACATTTAAAAATTAATAAGATACATGGGATAATAAAGGGAACAAATGATGACAAGACGTTGTCAAAACATGAGAAGAATGTGTGATAGAGCAGTACACACGCTTCTTTAGATCTGGTATCAGCCTAGTAACTGTTGTAATTCTGCAGTAGTGCTGAGCGTTAATGACATTTGGAGAAATCTATAACAACTGTAATGAGATTTGAAAATATTTGTGTTTTCTATTGATGGCAAATTCTATTGTGGTTCATTGTCTATATTCGTAACTGAAGCAAGTGCTAACTTTCAATTAAAGATTAGTGAAAATAAAGATGTATTTTTCCCCAAAATTCACAAATCCCATGAATGAATCTATGCATGGACCTCCAAGAGGTCCACGATGTGAACCACCTAGGACGTGAACTTCCCCTAGAGGTGCCTCACAGGGCCAGCTCCAAGCCCCGGGCCGCCTCCTGGCTTGTCTCAACCCAGGCCTTGAAGAGCTCCAGCAGAACGCTGATCTAAACTTTGGTAACTTTCCTCTGGCAATTTGAGGAATTCCTCCATTTGAGGAATGTCAGAGTGGGGCCAGGATCCCCGAATGCCCATGGAAGAAGAGCGAGCATGCTGGTCTGGCAGGCAGAAATAACCTTCTCCCCAGGGTCCAGAGGACAGAGGACAGTTCCCTCCAAAAGGCAGGTTTCTCAGGGACCTCATGGGAAGCCTGTCCTTGCCTGAGCAGTTCTGTCAACCATCCCGTCCCTCCACCTGGACCCCAGGTCCCCAACAGATCTTTTTACCTCCAGACAGAAGTTCTTTCTTGCTCTCAGGCTGGGGGCTCACGTTGAAATGGCTCTCAGTCCTCAGATTGTTCTTGCATCTTGTTAAAACCCCATCTCTCCAGTTTCGTCATTGCTCACACTTTCATAGCTGTTATATTCAGTCTTTGAAAACCACAGGATGGGTCGTTAAGCAGTCAGAGATCTTCCTCCACCCCCACTGTGGATTTTTTTCTCCTTTCTCTCCTGCAACTGGTCCTCCATCTCCTTCTCCTTTCCTCTCCCTTGTTTTGTCTTGTTGGTGTTAGAAATAGACTAGGGTGCTGAGGGGGCTGAGAAAAACCACCTCTTAAAATTCTTTTCTTTACCCTGGGGAACAAAGATTTTGTGTTTGCTAATTCATAATAAGGAAAGGACTGACGATAGAATAACTAGAAGATAAAAGGACAGAATGTCCTCTCAAGTATAAAGAAAGGTACCAAGTCTTCTCCTGAGAGTAGGTTTTGGTTAGAAGTAGGACAGAGAACACAGCTGCTCCAGGCTGAAAGGGAAGAAGGGCAGGGAGCTGTCAAGAAGGCTTGAGTGAGGGTGGTGGTGAGCAGGGGAGGCAACGAGTAGGGGCACCAAAATGGTCCTGGTGTGGTGGGGGGGAGGATGAATGACTGACCTTAATTTGCCACCCATTTTTTTTCTTTTTCTTTCTTATAATTATTTATTTATTTATTATTTTTATTTTTTTTTAATTTGAGACAGGATCTTACTGTCACCAAGGCTGGAGTACAGTGGGGCAATCATAGCTCACTGCAACGTTGACCTCCTGTGCTCAAGTGATCTTCCCACCTCAGCCCCTCCAAGCAGCTAGGACCACAGGTGTACGCCACCACACCTGGATAACTTTTTATTTATTTATTTATTTATTTATTTATTTAGAGATGGAGTCTCGCTGTGTCACACAGGCTGGAGTACAGTGGCGTGATCTCAGCTCACTGTAACCTCCGCCTCCTGGGCTCAAGTGATGCTCCTGCCTCAACCTTACGAGTAGCTGGGATTATGAGCACCTGCCACCATGCCGGACTAATTTTTATATTTTTAGTAGAGACAGAGTTTCATCATGTTGGCCAGGCTGGTCTCAAACTCCTGACCTCAAGTGATCCATCTGCCTGCCTTGGCCTCCCAAAGTGCTGGGATTACAGGCGTGAGCCACCATGCTCGGTTGATAATTTTTAAAAAGATTTGTTTGGATGAGGTCTCCCTATGCTGCCCCGCCTGCCCTTGAACTCCTGGGCTCAAACAATCCTCTGGCCTTGGCCTCCCAAAGTGCTAGGATGACAGGCCTGAACCACCATGCCCAGCTTCACATCCATTTCTATTCTGTTCTGTTCTTCCTTGGTCAGTGATGGCTTGGGACATTACGATTGTTCCTAAATTCTAGGGTTGTGCCCTTAGATGGCAGGAGCATTAGTCTGAGAATCAGAAACATTGGGCTCTAAGTCTTACAAGGCTGGGCCAGGCCCTGTGCCAAAGGGCACAGCACACCAGGAAGCGCCATGGTTCTGGGGGAACACCTGTCACGGTTGACACCCAGTGCCAGGCTAAGCAAGAATTCAAGGGTGCAGGGAGGGTGGGGGAAATGTTTTCGTGACTAGTCTAGAGCCTCTCTTTTCCTTGTTGTTCCTGTTATTGTAGCACTCTGTGCTCCTAAAAACAGTAGGGTGCTCTGGGGTTTGAGAACTCCCAGATCACTCCACTGAAGCCATCGTCAGATGAGACAGATATTAGAAATATTTCTTCACTCCAACCTGGGTGCGGTGGCTCCCACCTCTAATCCCAGCACTTTGGGAGGCCGAGGCGGGCAGATCATGAGGTCAGGAGATCAAGACCATCCTGGCTAACACAGTGAAACCCGTCTCTACTGAAAATACAAAAATTATCTGGGTGTGGTGGCGGGTGCCTGTAGTCCACAGCTACTTGGGAGGCTGAGGCAGGAAAACGGCGTGAACCCGGCAGGCAGAGCTTGCAGTGAACCGAGATCGCGCCACTGCACTCCAGCGTGGGTGACAGAGCGAGACTGCGTCTCTAAAAATAAAAAAAAGGAAAAGAAAAAAAGAAATACTTCTTCACTCCATCAAAGTGTTAGGTTTCACTGCAGAATGAGTCCATTCTGGGAGCCTGGGGGTTGGAAACCCATGTTGGGAAGAGGAGTGTCTCACCACCATGCTGGTCACACGACCAGTCCACCACAGCCCACAGGAAACCGGGTCCCACAGGTATGAACTGCTAAACTGGGCCTGGTTTCTGTTATCCCCAGTATCCTTATTTGCTGTCGCTATGATAGTGTTCAAACAGATGACCTCTCTGCTCTCTCAGCTGGAGACTTCTCCCTCCTTGGGTCCATGGGGTCCTTCCAAAGGTTGGCTCTGAGAGCATTCAGCATTCCTTATCATCGAGGAGCTGTCAAACAGTGATTATTAGCAACACGAAGAGAAGTTCAAGGCAACCAGGGTTGTGGGTGAGTGAGGTTGAGGCCCCTTTCGTACTAGTTTACACACATGTATTCATACTGGTTATTGCAAAAAACCTCAAAGTTCTGCAGAGACCTCAGGGCTCAAAAGTGAATTGCAGCGCACTTCCTTTTCACCAGCCGTGTGGCGTCTGTCCATCCTGCAATCAGTGGCATGCACAGTTTTCTGCAGATGTCACTTTTGGTCACTTCTCACAAGGTTATTGTGTGCCAGGCCCTGTGGGGTTGTCGATGACTGAATGGGGCCTGCTCTCAAGGCGAGCACACTGTTGAGAGAGGCCTGCATCCCTGTGAGATGAAACAGAATGCACCAACAGCTCTAAGTACCCCAGAAGTGAGAGAGAAGCCAGGAAGCAGGGGAGGTTGGGAGGAAGAAAAGGAGACTGCCCTGTGGGCGCAGACAGTGTTAGGCACTCTGTGTGGACAATGTGACATTTAAATTGAGCTTTGAAAGAAGGCAGGATTTCAAAAGGCAGGGGTAGAGGAACAGTGTGAACCAGCAAGGAGCAGGGACATGTGGGGCTGGCTTGGAAGTCAGTGAAACAATGAGGTGGCTGAAATCTAGGCTGCCTCCTGGCCATCCACAGCCTCCCAGATCTGTATCCTGTGGGCCTTTGAATATCTTGAAAACAATCTATCAGTTGCTACATTGTGTAACTGGACACGATTTAGAAAAAGGAAAACTGAGTGGACGTTGATTTGTATTTCCATCTGACTTCTGTAGAATTACGGGGTTTTGGAAGCAGAAGACTGCAGCAGTCTTCTAGTCCCTGGAAACCTGCAGACGCTTGCATGCCAGTCGTTCCCAAACTTGAGCGTGTATTAACATCACCAGGAGGGCATCTTTGAACAATTCGGATGGCTGGGCCCAGCTGCAGAGTCTCTGATTCAGGGTCTCAGGGCAGGGGTGGGGGTGGTCCAAGAAGCTGTATTCCTAACAAGTTCCCTGGTGCTACTGCTGCTGTAATGCTCCTTGCAAACCGTTCAGGGTAATACCTCTTGCATCCTCTGCTTGAATCGCTCTACTGTTCTGCAGCTCACCACCACCCAAAGTATCCACGCAATATCCCTTGTGGAATACTTCCAGTAAAATTCTTCCTTGTGCTGCTGTCAGTCCTGCCTGCCTGTAACTTTCCATGAAGTCTGCTGAGGGCCCCACATGGGAAATGTCTACGGATGGCAGGCAAGTCTCAGGCACATGCGGCAGACGCCTGGATTTACATCCTGACTCCACCACTTACTATGTGACCTTGGATAAGTCATTCACCTTTTCTGTATGTTCTTCAACTGTGGGATGGGGATAACAATGTCACAGAACTGCTGTTTAGAGTAAATGAGAAAAGTGTGTAAAGCAATTGACATGGTGCTTGGCATATACTAAGTACTCAGGTGTGGGCTAGTATCATTACCTAGTGTTCTTTCTTTTTTTTTTTTTGAGTCAGTCTCCCTCTGTTGCTCAGGCTGGAATGCAGTGGCACAATCTTGGCTCACTGCAACCTCCATCTCCTGGGTTCAAGTGATTCTTGGGCCTCAGCCTCCCAAGCAGCTGGGATTGCAGCCACCCGCCACCACATCTGACTAATTTTTTTGTATTTTTTCAGTAGAGAAGAGGTTTCACCATATTAGTCAGGCTGTTCTCAAACTCCTGACTTGAGGCGATCCACCTGCCTCAGCCTCCCGAAGTGCTGGGATTACAGGTGTGAGCCACTGCGCCCGGCCAGCATTACCTAGTTTTCCTTTCTACTCGGGAGTCTGTCAAATCTCCGAAGAAAGTTAATCATTCTAATGTTTCTCCTTTCTGGGCTAAATATCCCCAGCTCCTGCAATTATTTCTTATAATTATTTCAATGCTTTCATGGTTCCAATATTTTGTTTGTCCTTTCTACTCTTCTCTGAACAGAGTCCAGTTTGTCAGTCTCCCTTGTCAGGTGCATGGCTCAGACTTGCCACCTGCCTCGGCTTAGTCCAAGTCTCGTGTGTTCACTGCAACCAAAGGTAACTCTAGCTTTGTAGCTATTTCCACATTTCACTGGACTGTATTAGACTTCCAGGCCATGAAGGTGCCAGAGGCTACACCTGCATGTAGAGAGTAGAGCTCATTCTCCTGTCACATTGCCCCTTGTTGCTTAGCATGTGTGAGTTTGGTGAGTGTGGGTGAGGGAGAGTAACTCTGACTTTGGCCCAGTTCAGGGCCTACTGCCCCAGTAGCTGTGAGGAAGCACATTCGAGGCTCCAGGGGCTGGTGCAAGGCCCAGTCTCTCCCCCAGAGAAGGGTGAACTGACACCTAGCACAGCCAACAGTTTTCTGGAAGGAAACCAAGCCTCAGAGCCAGAGGCACATACAGCAAAGTTATGTAGGCATTTCAGCCCCTGCCCCAGCCACTGTCATTGCTGGCCTTTTGCCCAGAGTCCTTGGTAATAGAATAATGATAGAATATGGAGAGGGAGTCAGGGCTGTTTTTTTTGTTTGTTTCGCCTTTTTTTTTTTTTTTTTTTTTGAGATGGAGTCTCCCTCTGTCGCCCAGGCTGGAGGGCAGTGGCACAATCTCAGCTCACTGCAAGCTCTGCCTCCCGGGTTCAAGTCATTCTCCTGCCTCTGCCTCCTGAGTAGCTGGGTCTACAGGCACGCGCCTCCATGCCCAGCTAATTTTTGTATTTTTGGTAGAGACAGGATTTTGCCACGTTAGCCAGGCTGGTCTTGAACTCCTGACCTCAGGTGATCCACCTGCCTTGGCCTCCCAAAGTGCTGGGATTACAGGCATGACCCACTGCGCCTGGCCTCAGGGCTGTTTTATTGTGGGGACAGAGGTGGCAGTTTCAGGGGTTTGGGTATCAAGATGACACGGCAGGCCCTGGAGACAATGTCTCTCTCAGCCTCCATTCTAATTTCCGGTGTGTAGTGAGTGGCTCACCAGGTGCTCTTAAGTTCTGTCTTTTAAAACAGAAGGCACACAAAAATGTGCCCAAATTACTTTGGTGTCCTGAAGAGCCTGTCTTGTCCCTCTCCGGTCAGAGAAGACACCAAGTTCCTTTACGGCCAGGCCTCCTCCTGAGGGAGACCAGGCCTGTGGGGTTGCCGGCTCAAACACTGCCACCGGCTCTGCACACCCATTTCCACAGGGACAGCCCGAGTGTCTCCAGGACA